TAACCCTGGAGTATCCCTGCCAGTGGAGAAATGGAGAGGGACCTGCATTTTGGGCAGGGGTGATAAAAAAGCCTGCAGTGTTCATTAAGCTGAGAGATCTGACTGAGGATTGGCCAGTGGACTCCCCTTTTTATTTGATTATCGGTTTTAGTCAGCTCCTCTGTCTCTTGGCTGTTTTCCAGGCTCTTAATACCTGGATTGTTTTTAAGAATAATTTGTTGCTTGTACTGTTGGGGTGTCCCTTGAACTGCAGGTGACACCAATTCCTTGATGTTGACCAGGGCAGAAATCATTCCCCCAGGAAATTAGTTGTGTTACTTGTGTGTCCCTAAGGACAACTGCAAGGTAAATGTTAATGCCCAGCACCTGCACCACGTCACAGGGCCCCGGCCCCGCCTCCCTTCCAGGTTCCATTTGTTGCCTGGAAACCGGGAACGCGGGCACAGCCACTGTCGCGTTGGTGCTGCCGCGTCAACACCCGCAGTCCCCGGTCGGCTCTCGACCTACCCTGTTCCCCGCGGCCTGAGCTCCGTCAGGCAGCGATACTGAGCGTTTTGATAAGCGAATTCTTGGAGAGATTGTCTCTCAGAAACTCTGTCAGTCTTGCCGGTCACTGAAAGGCAAGGACTGACTGGGCTCTTCACCAACTGAGCCCTTGCAAAGAACTGTCTTTGAAGATCACCCGTGTCCTTCATTGGAAGGTAAAGCTGGGATGTCCTTCATGATGTTCAGCTTGACACCCTGCTGTGATAGACCTGGCTTTCCTGAGATGTGTCAGCAATTGTTCCCCAGCCCTGGGCATATTTCTTCCTCATTCCTTTCCTGGGTGGCCTCAGCTGCTGTGTCCTGGCACAGCTGGTTCCTCTGCCCAGGCTCAGGCCATTTGTGCTCTGAACACAAAGCTGAGGGGCCAGAGCTGTCTGTGCCCTGAGCCTGGAGCAGAGGGGGAATTAAGATCCTTTCCTAACTTGTGGGGTGGGTAAAGAAGTCTCTGGGGTAGAGAAGATGGAGATCTCCCTTCTCTGTACAGGGGTGGTGGGCTGGAGCTGTGCTTTGTCCTGTCCGTGCAGGGAGATGGGGCTGATTTCCCAGTTCTGTTCCTTCCCCTGAGTCTGGGAGGCACATCTCTGTAGGCTTTATGGCAGCAGAACTGTGGGGCTGTGGAAGAGCATCACAGCAGACATAGAGGGTAGGGGAAGCTGCTAGCCTGGATGGGGGTGTGGAAAGTGGAAGCCCTCTGCAAACAGCAGTGTGGGCATGATGGACAGGCTTCATTTGAAGTGAAATGAAACTGCAGCTAGGAAACTGGCACAAGTAATCCAGTGATTCTCAAGACCAAGTAACAAATCACTGAAATCCAGATTAATGTCCCATTCCCCACCAGATGGTAATTTCCAGCTTTAAATCCCAGCTCTTGCTGCAGCATGCCCTGGTGTCCATAAGACAGTGTTGTGTTCTCATGTTTCTGGGCACTCTCTGGGGTTGTCTTCTCTTCTTGCCCTTTCGTGCACACTGATTTTGTACGACAGAGGCTGGTGATTGTTTACCTATAGCTTCTTGTAGGATAAGGGTGCTGGAGAAGAACTGCCACTAGGATAAAGTCTGACGTGGTCCTGCTCCCCCATATGTTGCATTTCTAATGGCTCACGGCCCTTTAATGGTGTCTCCTCAGGACCTAGCAGAGTTTGATGGCAAGGTTCACTCTATTGCTTACTACA